GCTTCGTATGGAACCAGAGAAGACCCCGCATAGCAAAAACAATTCTAGGTAACAAAAACAAATGGGAGGCATCAATCTACCAGACTTCAAACTCTATTAGAAAGCTGTAATATTAAAATCAGCTTGATACTGGCACAAAAACAGAGCCATTGACCAGTGGAACAGAACTGAGAACCCAGATATAAAACCATCCTCATATCGCTAACTTTTTTTTGAAAACAAAATAACTCATGATCACATTTGGCAAATGTGCATCTTTCTATATAGATTTACACGTAAGCAAGGACCACAGGGGTGTACATTTTTAGGAAAAATATTTGTAAGCAACAGGATCTCTGCATGATTCAAGATCAGTAGGCATATGTATGTCCAAGAAAGAGATGAGAAATTGTACTTCTTGAAAGTTAAGGAACTCACAAATGATGAATCTCCGAAAGGTGACTGGCACCCATTAATTAATGAGAACCAGTTTATAACTGGGCAGGCCGAGACAGGGGGATCCACCTGCAGACCATCGCTAGGCTCTGGATTAATCCATGTCGATGTTTTCAGTCTCTCGTCGACTCTCCCTGCTTCTCCCAGGACTCTCTACCTGCTGTCAAAGTAGAAATAAAGGCGAGGGATACCACTGGGTTCTGGTGCATCGGTGTCCGGGCTCTCTCCAAGACCTGATTTCGGAGCTCTGTGAGTCTCTATACCCAATTATTTGTACAGACAGAACTTGAAAGTTTATGTGCTGTGATCATTCAGACAAACCACACTTTACAGAGGCTCACTGACAACACCATGTGTTCTAAGTTAGACGCCCCAAGCGACCAGACAAAGTTGCTTCCTAAGTGGAAACATGACATCCTATAAATGTTAGGCTCCAAGAAAACAAAAAAATCAAGGAAAAGAAGAGTGCAGGGAATGAAGGAAAGAAGAAAGAAAAAGTCACCAGACCTACAACGTGGCATAAAAGTCCAACATAAATCCTGTAAACCAGACACCATCTAGTTAGTACCCTGTAGAGCGAAAACCCCAAACCCACAGGACTCATTGGCAGTGTCTCTCACTTCTGTATCTAACCATTAGGGAAATTTTAGCCCATTTACAAGTGAGACTTGATCTCATCTGTATGTAAGGTGAAGATCCTGCTATATGAAGGCACCACTACGACAGGGAATTGTGTATGGATAGCCAGGAACACGGGCTCACTGTGAGCACTCAGCCACCAATGCTCAGTCTTTGTACTTGCCGACCATTTCAACGTAACTTTTAATGACTGGAGGCAGGATGTCTGAAGTGCTTAATAAAACCCAGACCCTGCTTGAGTATCTACTGGGTACCTGCATTAGGCCCGGGAGGGCCATTACGCTGAAGTCTTTATCACAAAAGCAAAAGACATGTGAGGGGGGTACCTGACTGCAAAGAAAGAAAACTGGCAGAGACCGAGACCACTTTGTGCAGACAAAGAACTCCTCATTTTCTGATAGGTTTCGTTGACCAGCACATGTTCCCACTCAGTGCTTGCCTTCGTGTATCTGTGGAGGTCGGCATAGTCTGGGTACACCTGTGGCCGTTCAACACCTGGCACGTATTCTGAGACACAGCAGCAGTTGGGACAGCAGTGAAACAAAGTCGGGGGATGAGGGAACATGGCCATGGAGGCAGCAGGCCCAGCAGCCATGACGGGCACAGGCACTCAGACAACAGGAGCTGTGTGGAGTGCACGCGGACGATCTGGGAGGCACGGCCTGTAAAGATTCATCCGGGTGGAAGGTAGGGCAAAACAGACAAAGAGGAACTCTGCAGGCACAGTGACATCTGCCACCATGGTGACATGCGCCTAGACGCCCTCTGGCTGCTCTTCAGCCCTCTGGGCTACTGGAGGTCGTCATTCCTCAAGGGAGTTGCCTGCAGAGCAGACTCGCTCCTGATTTGCCTGGTGGGACCGTCAGGGTCTTGGTTCTTTGGTATCTCCTGGCTGTCCTCATTCAGAGATGTTCGATCTTCTAGGTGGTCGGTGGCTGGGGGCGCCAGAGGGTATTGCGCGGCTTCTGGCTTGCTCTCC